TACATAATTTTATCAGCAGTTTGACAATTTTCCTCTGGGATCAGGCACAAATAATGATTCTGCAATCTACAAATTTCATCCATATTAAATCTTGTGCACACAGTCTTAGCCACTGCAATATGGGGAAAAAAATGAAATCAAAGGATTGTCAAAGAAATATAACAAACATAAATACCATTATTTTTAAAAACCATGACCATAGAGTCAAAATGACCTACAATTCAATTATACAAATCAACAGTTAATAAATGAATTCAACAAAGTCCCTGAACTCAAGGTTAATACACAAAAATCAGTAGGAACAAAGCATTAGAAAATTGTCAAAAAGAATATTTAATATACAATAAAAAATATTGGAGGGAGTGACACCACCCAAATACTTAGGCATAAATTTAACTAAGGAGGTGAAAGACCTCTACTTCAGGTCCTACAAGACATTAATAAGAGAAATGAAAGAAGATAAAATTAAGTTTAAGTGTATTTTTATGCATGATTTGGAAGAATCAATATTGTTAAAATGTCATTACTATCAAAGGTCATCTATAGGTTTAGGCTGTCCATATGGAGACTTTAATGACACTTTTTACAGAACTAGAAAATACACTGTGAAAATTTATATAGAACTACAAAAGACCACAGAATAGCTAAAGAGATACTAAGACAATCCAAATAGGAGACATCACACTTTCTATTTTCAAGCTATGTTTTAAAGCTACAATAATCAAAAAGTATATGGTAATGGCATAAAAACAGATAAATATACCAGTGAAACAGAATTGAGAGCCTAGAAGTAAACCCAAACATAAACAGTCAAGCAATATTTGATAACAGTGCCAGGAATACTCACTAGAGAAAATATGGTCTATTTAATAAATAGTGCAATGGTAATTGGATATTCACATGCAATTAAACTGGCTCATTTCTTATACTATTCACAAATAATTAATCAAAATATGTCAAAGACCTAAGTGTAAAACTTAATGAAACTCCTAGAAGGAAACAGGAATAAAGCTGCTTGACACAGGTCTTGGTAATGATTTTTGGATATTATACCAGAGTACAAGCAACAAAACATAAAGTAAACAAGTAGGACTACATTAAACTAAAAAGCTTTTGTTAAGCAAAAGAAACCATCAACAAAAGGAATAGACAATCTATAAAGTGAGGAAAAATATTTGCAAACCATTTATCTGATAAGGGATTAATTTAAAATATATAAAGAACTCTTACAATTCAATAGCAAATAAACATATAACAACTCCCCAAATCCCAGATAATTCAATTAAGAAATGAGCAAAGAACCTGAATAGAAACTTCTCTAAAGAATATATATACAAGGTCAACAAGTAAATGGAAAGAAATTCAAAATCACTTGTCACTAGTGAAATGTATATTAAAACCACAATGAGATAAGGCTTCAAATCTATTAGAATGGCTATCATAAAAATACAAAATAAAAAATGATGGCATGGACTTAGAGAAAAACCATTTTGGACTGCTGGAGGAATTGCAAATTGGTACAGCCACTATGTGAAACACATGGAGGATCCTAAAGAAATTAAAAACAGAACTACTGTTTTTAATTGCTGCTGTGGGATGCAGCAATTCCACTCCTGGGAATATATCCAAAGGAAACAACCCTACGTCCATATCTGCAATAGTGACACTGTCTAAGATATGGTAACAACTTGAGTCTGAGAGTCCATCAACAGATGATGGGTAAAGAAGTTATACACACATATGTGGACTTGCCTTATGGCTCAGCTGTTAAAGAATTTGCCTGCAATACAGGAGACCTGGGTTTGATCCCTGGGTTGGGAAGATACTGTGGAGAAGGGAAAGGTTAACTATTCCAGTATTCTGGTCTGGAGATTGATTATATTCTTTGCAGTCAAAGATGGAGGAGCTCTACATAGTCAGCAAAAACAAGACTGGGAGCTGACTATGGCTCATACCATGAACTCATTGCAAAATTCAGACTTAAATTGAAGAAATTAGGGAAAAACAGCAGGCCATTTAGGTATGACCTAAATCAAATCCCTTAAAATTATATAGTAGAAGCGACAAATGGATTCAAGGGATTAGATCTGATAGAGTGCCTGAAGAACTATGGACGTAGGTTTGTGACATTGTCTAGGAGGAAGTGATTAGGACCACCCCCAAGAAAAAGAAATGCAAAAAGGCAAAATATTTGTCTGAGGAGGCCATACAACTAGCTGAGAAAAGAAGAGAGGCTAAAGACAAAGCAGAAAAGGAAAGATATACCCATTTGAATGCAGAGTTCCAAAGAATAGCAAGGGAGATAAGAAAACCTTCCTCAGCGATCAATGCAAAGAAATAGAGGAAAAGAATAAAATGGGAAAGACAAGAGATCTCTTCAAGAAAATCAGAGACACCAATGAAGCATTTCATGCAAAGATGGGCACAATAAATGACAGAAATGGCATGGACCTAACAGAAGCTGCAGATATTAAGAGGTGGCAAGAATACACAAAAGAATTATACAAAAAAGATGTTCATGACCCAGATAACCACAATGGTGTGATCACTCACCTAGAGCCAGACAGCCTGGAATGCGAAGTCAAGTAGGCCTTAGGAAGCATCACTATGAACAAAGCTAGTGGAGATGATGGAATTCCAGTTGAGCTATTTCAAATCCTAACAGATGATGTTGTTAAAGTGCTGCACTCAATATACCAGCAAATTTAGAAAACTCAACAGTGGCCACAGGACTGGAAAATGTCAGTTTTCTTTCAAAACCTAAAGAAAGGCAATGCCAAAGAATGTTCAAACTACTGCACAGTAGCACTCATCTCACACACTAGCAAAATAACGCTCAAAATTTTCCATGCCAGGCTTTAATAGTATGTAAACTGTGAACCTCCAGATGTTCAAGCTGGATTTTGGAAAGGCAGAGGAACCAGAGATCAAATTGCCAACATCTGTTGGATCATCAAAAAAGCAAAACAGTTCCAGAAAAAACATCTACTGCTTTATTGACTATGCCAAAGCCTTTGACTGTGTGGATCACAACGAACTGTGGAAAATTTTTCAAGAGATGTGAATATCAGACCACCTTTCCTTCCTCCTGAGAAATTTATAAGCAGGTCAAGAAGCAACAGTTAGAACTGGACATGGAACAACAGATCGGTTCCAAAATGGGATAGGAGTATGTCAAGGCTGTATACTGTCACCCTGCTTATTTAACTTATATGCAAAGTACATCATGAGAAATGCTGGGCTGGATGAAGTACAAGCTGGAAATAAGACTGATGGGAGAAATAGCAATAACCTCAGATATGTAGATGACACCAACCTTATGGCAGAAAATGAAGAAAAACTCAAATTCCTCTTAATGAAAGTGAAGCAGAAGAGTGAAAAAGTTGGCTTAAAACCCAACATTCAAAAAACTAAGGTCATGGCATCTGGTCCCATTACTTCATGGCAAATAGATAGGGAAACAATGGAAACAATGGGGAAACAGTGACAGACTTTATCTTTGGGGCTCCAAAATCACTGCAGATCGTGACTGCCACCATGAAGTTAAAAGATGCATGCTCCTTGGAAGAAAAGCTTGACCAACCTAGACAACACATTAAAAAACAGAGATATTACTTTGCTGACCAATCTCATCAAAGCTATGTTTTTTCTAGTAATCATGTATGGATGTGTGAGTTGGGCTATAGAGATAGCTGAGCATCGAAGAATTAATTTTTTGAAGTGTGGTTTTGGATAAGACTCTTGAGAGTCCCTTGGACTGCAAGGAGATCCAACCAGTCAATCCTAAAGGAAATCAGTCCTGAATATTCATTGGAAGGACTGATGCTGAAACTGAAACTCCAATGCTTTGGCCACCTGATGGGAAGAACTGACTCATTTGAAAAGACCCTGATGCTGGGAAAGATTGTAGGCAGAAGGAGAAGGGGATGATGGAAGGTAAGATGGTTGGATGGCATCACTGATTCAATGGACGTAAGTTTCAGCAGGCTCCGGGAGTTGCTGATGGACAGGGAAGCTTGGCATGCTGCAGTCCATGGGGTCGCAAATAGTTGGACATGACTGAGTGACTGAACTGAACTGAACATACATATGTATGTATATATAAATCTATATTTACATGCATGATGGATTATTGTTTAACCATAGAAATGGGTGAAATATTGAAGGCATCATGTAAAGTAAAGTAGGTTAGACAGTGCAAGACAATACTGTATGAGCTCACTCCTATATAGAAATAAAAAAGGAGAACAAACTTGTAGTTATCAGAGGCTGAAGATGAAGGAAGAGGGGATTGGAGAAAGACTGTCAAAAGTTATAATCTTCACTTAGAAGTCAGTGTCTTTATTTGCTCAGTCAGGTCTGACTCTGTGATTCCATGGACTATAGCCCATAGCCCGCCAGGCGCTTCTGTCCATAGAATTGTCCAGGCAAGAATACTGGAGTGGGTAGCTGTTTCCTTCCCCATGGGATCTTCCCGACCCAGGGATTGAACTCAGGTCTCCTGCATTGCAGGCATATTCTTTACTGTTTCAGTCATCAGTGTAATTACAACATGATAATTATAGCTAATATTGCTATAAGATAAAATATAGGATTCTTTTAAAAGAGTAAATCCTAAGACTTCTATGATAATAATTTGTTTTCCTTTTCTGTCTTATTGTATTTATTGGCGTATGTACATGTTAACTGAATTTAATATGGTAATCAATTCACAGTATATGCAAACCAAATCACCCTTCTGTATATCTTAAACATATACAGTGATATATGTTAATTATTTCTCAATAAAACCAGAAAAAAGACCTGCAAACAAATCTAAAACATGTGCAAGATCTTTACAAAGAAAACTTTGAAATGTTATGAAACACTAAGAAAAAACTAGGTGATTTATAAAGTCTATGAGTCAGAATTTAATATTATAATGATAAAAAAATTCTCCAGATTAATCTAAAAATTTTAAAAATCCCAAATACATCCCAAATTTTTTTTTACAGAAATAGTGTTGGTGACTTCACAATATACATAGCAATGTAAAGGAATATGATCATCCAAGACAATACTGAAATCCAACAAAGTCAGAGACCTTCATTCAGCAAATTGCAAGATAAGGTATGAAGTTACAGCAAATAATGTCATGAGGTTTTGGTGCAAGAAGAGACAAATAAACATATGCACTAGGGAAAAAAGTCCAGAAATAGACTGATACATATATGAACAGTTGGTTTATACCACACGTGACATTGTAGAACAATCTGGAAAGGACAATCTTTTCGAAGAATCATGTTCTATCAATTGAGTATTTATGTATCTATGAAGGAATTATAAAAATTATCTCCTGCCTAAAAAATAAAATTATTTTTAAGTGAACTGTAGATATGAATATGAAATTAAGCAAACATTTTCAAGAAAGTAATTCAGGGAAATAATTTCATAATCCGAAGTAGGGAAAGATGCCTTAAGTGAGACAAAAATGCAGCAACCATAAAGAAAAAAATGGTAAATAATACTACATAAAATAAAATTTTATTCTGCTCATAAATACACGTCACTAACAGAGTAAAACAGAATATTTCATTTGTATTTTTATAGTAAATGTATTATATTCATGTGAAGGACTACCATACAAAAGTACAAATAGGAAATTAAGTTATAGAAAATCATATGGTTCTCAAAAACATATTAAGGCAAAGAAATTAGCTGCTATGGAAAGCATACTGAATACATATTTCCACATATATATTTACAAAAAAAGGCACAACATCTACAGTATTAGAAGTCAGAGGACAGTTTTTGGGGGGAAAAGGGAGATAAATGTTGATTTTGGAAAGGAGAAAAGAGAGTCTTCAGTATTGTTGGCATTAATATATTTCTTGACTTGGGTAATGTTAAATGTTAATACTCTGCTACTACTTGCTAAATTCTACACCTAATGTCTTTTACACTTTTTTAATATATTTTACTGCAATAAAATTAAGTTAATAAAATATCAAGAAAATATTTTCCAGACATTGTTTTGTGTCCCTTTACACATAGTAACTCATTTATTTAACCCTCCCTGATCTCTTAGGTAGATATTATTATGCTTAATGTTAAGATGAAAACATAATTAAAGATTATGAACTAAAATGGAGTATTGAAGTAGCATAATGATTAAGTTGCTGATCCAGGATGCCCATCAAGATATCTGGCTGCAAAATTTGTATTATTAACTAGAATACTTTGCTCTATTTCAAATTCACATTTTGCATAGGTGGAAAATTTTCCATTCTTCAAATGCAACATTGTTTTATCTCCAATGGCTGCTGAGCATCAAATAACTCACTATAGGAGAAAGGCTTCAGGTCAGGATTTTATCAGTCTATTCCACCCAGATACATGTAACACTTTGTATTTACCCAAGTGCATTGTTTTTTTACAACAGTATCTCAATTGTACTACTTTTAATATATAAGTTTAAATTACTCATACAGTCACTAATCATACTTATATTTGAATAATTATTTTTGTATTATTTTGTATTGTGCATATGGAGCATGCCCTGAGAATATTGTTTAAAAATTCAGTGCATTATGTAGTGAAAATTTGGATGAGTCTCTCTTTCCTGATAACTCAATTTATTGAACAGGCTACCCACAGATAAACTTAGTGACTATGTTACAGTAAATTATTTTGTGGGTTGATGATTCATGGAGGTTCCGGGGTTAATATATAACATGGACCACGCTATTTTTCTACTGTTCTCAGTTGTGTCTGACTCTTTGCAGTCCCATAGACCGTAGTCTGCCAGGATCCTATGCCTATGAAATTTTCCAGGCAAGATTACTGGAGTAGGATGTCATGATTTTAAGTGGGGTGCCATTTCCTACTCCTGGGCATCTTCCAGACCCAAAGATCGAAGCTATGATCCCTGTGTCTTCTGCATTGGCAGCAGATTCTTTACCACTACTGCCATCTGTGAAGTTCATTTTTTTTTTCCATTAGCATATATAAATATATTTTTTACTTATCTATGTGTGTGGTTCTAGTTCTATATACCTATGTGATTGGAGAAATAAAGCATCTACTTTCGTAATGTCATCTGCATTTTGAGAAGGATGGACTAAACTGTTTTAAAGATAACTTCGTGTGATTTCAGTATTTGCAGAGTCAATGCATCATATGACTGTCGTTTCAGCAAGTAGACACTAGGTGGAGATTATATTTAATTAATAATGCTTGTCTTACAAGCTGCATTTTCAAACATAGGGTTCCCTCACTAACTGAAAGTAAAACAGTCCTGTGAAATTTTTCTTGAGGCAAAATGGCCTAAAGCAAAGATGTGGTTACTGTAGGACACATCTTACTAATGCATACACAAAATAAACTGAGGTAAAACACACATGATCACATAGTTCAAAATTATGGTGGCTTGATGCTATGATACTAAGTGTAGTTCCTGGGGAAGGAGCTTGGCATTGTCACTGTCCCTCAGAGTGTTGGCTTCCTCTATCATAGAGGCCTGCTACAAAACAGACATTGAACAATATTTTTGCTTTTTGTCTTTTTTCTTCCCCATAAAATAAAAAATCCTCTTTGGATTTCTTTATGTTAAGAAAAATAGATAGTAATGTAGGTCTTTCATAAAAGTGAAGTGGTGTAAAGAGAATGCTCAAAAAGTGGGAGATACCTGTACTTTCATTTTCAGAGAATTCTAAAACAACTATTCCTCACATATTTAATTATTTTGGATTTATTAACATGTAATTTTTAAAAATCAATAATTGACATCATTACAATTAAATTGCTTGAAAGAAAAAAAAAGTATAATAGAATAACTGCATAACTAACTCCCATCAGAACCTGTTCTGAATACTTTAAATTATCTGTGTGATCTTAGTAAAATATTTCATATCTCTGGGATTCTCTTGATGTAGAATTAAATTAGTGCTTTAAAAAGATATTTAATAGGAGAACTATTTTGAAGGAAGAAAAACACACACACAATTAAATGAATGCTTTAATTGAATTGATTTAGTGTCTACCTACTTCTCCCTTTCCAGATCTTCCATCTTATATAATGCTCCAAATCCTACTGTTGAAACCAACTTTCTACAAGATGTTCTAAAGCCCACTGAACACTACCTTTCTCTGAAGGCCTTAAATGAAAGACTGCTGCTTTCTCTAGATTACCATTGGGCAAATCTGTTAATTTAAGCATTATCTGAAAGTGTCTTAAAAAAATTATAATTCTTAGATAGGTCCTATGTTGAACCACATGAAACTGAATCTGTGAAAGTGGCCCCCAAACACTGGTATTTAAAAACATTGTTCTACAATTTAGAGTTACAGTGAGTGTTGAGAACCACTCTAGTAGCACTTTAACTCAATTCTCCTAAGCTTGATTTTTGGGGGAAACCTCCATGAGTAACTTCAGCAATGATTTTATAGGTAAATTTACATATGATCATATAGAGAGAGCATCCTGTGTCTTATGCAGTTGATGCCCCAGTTTAGAATGCTGAAAAGCTTAGCTGAGATTGTGATCATCTTTATCCAAGACATGCCAATAGCAAGGATAGGAAGTTTTGGCTGAAACCCAAAGCTTTTTCAGGAACAAAATTAATAGCTATTTTTTCCCTAGTCTCTTTACATGTATATGCCACATATCCAATTATTTTAATTGATATATTTTCCTGCTCTTTACTCTTTTCTGGAAAGATTGTTTCAAATCCTATTTTAAATACAATGGAAGCAATTAATCACTGGTTTTGTTTTATATTTAGGTTATCAAATGATCTTTAAGACAAAATTATACAAACATATATTATAACATAAAGGATAAATGCTTGCTTTAGTTACAAAGTGCTAAGGAAATTTCTTCATATTGTCATATTTTTTACTTCCATTTTCAAGTGAAAATTGCTTTTCAAAAATAAAATTACCCTTAATTATATTGAAATGATTACAAATTGAACAACTATGAGATAATAATACAATCAGATGTCAAAATGTTAAGTACTAAAAAAAAAGTACTATTCTCACTAACAAGTGAAAATATTAATATAAATTATTAATCTTAATTATAACTTTAATTTATGAACCATCTTTCATAACTCATATTTAAAAGTCACTTTTTAAATGTTTTGAACACATAGAGCATCTCCTTAAAATAACACTGTGTATAAATTCATTATACTAGCTTATTCAGATGTGCATAAAAAATTACCAACAGAAAATACTGAAAGATTTGGGGAATTACAAGTAGTAGAAAGCATAGTATGGTGAAACCAGATTTTATGTTGCTTAACTGAATAAAACAAACTTTGGAATTTGTCCTTCTTTCTAGATACTACAAATTCTCCTATCCCGGTTCCTATCTCCTCCCAAACATCTGAGGAAAATTATCCAAAGGTTTGTCTCCTTACACAGGTGAAAGTCATCTATTCTGCATCACTTTTAAATGAATCCAGTGTAAAGAAATCATACCATAGAATTTCTACCAAATTAATTAATCATTTTTTATATCTTTTGGCTTTTTAAAATATTTAAAATATTTAAATTTGAAGCAACCATTAACTTAGGGAAAAGATAAGTACAGTACAAAGACCTTTTTCTCCTGAGACACTTAAGAGGAGATTGCCAACCCAAAATAGTTTATATTATCTATAAACAAGGATATTATCCTATGTAACCACAATATAAGCATAAGTATAAGAAAATTAGCATTGATATATTACTACAACCTAATCCTCAGGGCAGTGGGATTATACTGATGGATGTTGACATACTTCCCCTGACTTCGAGAGCCAAGATATAAGGGCCAAGAATCTGTCACAATCAATGACCTTACAGAATACAATCTCATTCTCTGTCTTTTGGTTTAGATGCATAGGTAACCACCTGGGGATCTTCTGGATAGAATCCAGGTCTCCCGCACTGCAGACAGATTCTCTACCAGCTGAGTAACCAGGAAAGCCCAACCTAAATGGAGCTGCCTCAACTTCTAATATATTATAATTATGACTGCTCCTGGTAGCATTACTTACTTTTTGGGCCTTAGAGCCACCAAAATCACAGAGGCTCAACTGGAGATGAGTTATTAGATCTAATGGTGAGGAAAGCCACACTCACCCTTTTATAACAGGTTCTTGGCCCTTATATCTTGGCTCTTGGAGAGATATCCACTAGTTTAAACCAAAGCTCATAACTTGTGGAATCACACGCAGTGTATGTCTTATATCAGGACATTATCTCCTAGAGGGAGGCTGCTTTTCTCTTTGGTGACATTGGAGCTGAGTCCTTAGTAAGACAGTCCACATTTTTCTTGGTCTGGACACTTTGGAATCAGGGAAAACATATCAATATCTATAAGCATAATCTCGCTGTCCCACTTTTCTATGGCTTCCCTGGTGGTTCAGACATTGAGGAGTCTGCCTGTAACACAGGAGACCCTGGTTCAGGCCCTGGGTCAGGAAGATCCCCTGGAGAAGGAAGTGGCAACCCACTCCAGTATTCTTGCCTGGAAAATCCAATGGATAGAGGAACCTGGCAGGCTACAGTCCATGGGGTCGCAAAGAGTTGGACATGACTAAGTGACTTCACTTCTTCACTTTATTGTCATAAAGTTGGAAAAATGTGTCGTGAAAGGTAGCATGATGTTGAAGTTATTAGATAAGAAATGGTGCTTATAGAAGCACTTTGAACAAAGAAAGCAAAGTCCATACTTGTACATATGTCTATCTCAATAAAAAAAAAATTGCTACTGGTTTCATGGTATGAAGAATATAATGTGATTTCCTCAGGTTATTCCATTGAACACCAATTAGCCAGTATAAGTCGATAACATCTTTCTTTCAAAGCAATGTGGAAAATTAGATGTATTGTTTAAACTTCTGCCAAAAAGATCGACTTCCTACTACCATTTTTTTTATAGGGTGGCGGTTTTAAGATATGTGTTCAGATGCTTTGACATTTCTCTCAATATTGGGAGATTTATGGTCCCTTCTTTGAACCTGGGAAGATTTGTGAATGAAGTGTCTAGTGGAATACAGAAAAAGTAACATTATGTGACTTGTGAGGATAGGCTCTACCAGGCCAACTAACTTTTGTTTCACTCATTGAGAATATTCACTCTGAAGCCCTTAGCCACCATATTAAAACTCCAATCTTTTTCAGCCACTGTGCTGCAAAAGTCATGAATAGATCTTCCAGTTGACCACCTCAGGTAAGTGTATCCTTCCTGTTATTCTTGCCAAGTCAATTGACATATAAGAGAAGCCATCTTGAACATTCCAGACCAAACATTCACCAATGAGTATTGTCAGATGACCTTTATTGGCACCATGTAGAACAGATGATCCACCCAGCTTAGCCCTTCCCAAATTTCTGACCCATAAAATCATTATATGTAATAAAAGAATTATTATTTTTCAGTTGTTGCACCACAGTGGATAACCGGAGCACAGAATGGCCTCCTGAGTCACTTCAGTTTTAATCCACTAAAAATTCACTTCTGTTCCTACCACCTAAAATTGAAATCCACATTTTTTGATATTCATTAAAATCTTATGGAACTCCTCACAGGCCCTTAGGCATTTTTTTTTTTTAAACTTTGCTGAATCAGAAGTAAGTACTATGGGAATTTCAATGATGCTTGCTTGCAAATAACTTGTAACTTTGAGAGTTGAGTCATGCTATTTTAATTAATGATGCAATGATGCAACACCCCTTAACTCTTTAAATCACTGGATCACATAACACTAAAGATGAGGAGCTGAAGTAATATATTCATGGTTTTCTCTTTTTTAGGTATTTTTTCTCTGTAAAGACTCACTGGTAAACCAGAAGCGTCCTATAGAGAATGCAGAAGTCAATGAGGCGTCCATTCACTGCTGAAAATAAACACAAATGAGAGAAGTGAAGCAATATCCTGGTCTAATTCCTTCCCTGTCCTTTAATCTCCTAAGCATCATGTTGGTCAAACTCAAACAAAATCATTCATGTAAGGGAGGCCATGTGATTATTCCACAGGGCTCAGCATCCTGAGGCAGAGAACACAATCAAAACAAACAAACAAAAACTGAGAATATGGCTTAGCATAGTGAAGTCAATGCTATTGAACGGTACATTATATCCCTGACTTGAAGGACATTAGAATCCATAACACTTTGAAAAGCTACAGGCTGTTTCCAGGCATAGAGACATTTAGGAAGTATCTGTGCATGAGTACTCAAACACAAGTATTAATTCTTTTGTGCCAAACATTTTTTTCGCATGATACTAGAATTGAGAGTCCGTTGACTAGCCAACTCATTGGAAAAACCTTGATGCTGGGAAAGATTGAAGGCAGGAGAAGTGGATGACAGAGGATGAGATGGTTGGATGGCATCTTTGATTCACTGGACATTGGTTTGAGCAAACTCCAGGAGATGGTGATGGAGAGGGAGACCTGTGGGCTGCAGTCCATGGGGTCACAGAGTTGGACATGACTGAAGGACTGAACAACAACAAGCCATTCAACCACAACCAAAGAGGAACATTTCTAGGCTAAATAGTAGGGCTTGTAGCTGATTCTGTTGAGATCTACCTACTATTTCCTGCCCTGTCCTAGAATTTGAACTGGTAAGCTTTCTGTAGGCAGTGTATGATTATCTAGAAGCTATCTTACTGCTCATATATTAGATCATATATACAGGATACAGAGTATAATATAGCTCCAGGAAAGAAACTGTGCCCCAAACCTGAATATTAGATAAGGAAGCTTCATTTATAAATATACTTTTGTGAACATATCAAGTAGTCTGATGCACCTTACAGTGATATATTTGGAAATAGGGGCTTCCCTGGTGGCTTATAAATAAAGAATGCACCTGCCAATGCAAAAGATACAGGTTCGATCTCCAGGTCAGGAAGATCCCCTGGAGAAAGAAATGGCAACACACTAAAGTATTCTTGCTTGAAAAATTCCATGGCCAGAGGAGCCTAGCAAGCTATAGTCCATGGGTTGACAAAAGAGTTGGACATTATTTAGGGACTAAACAATAACAACAGCAACAATTTGGGAACAGCTCTTTTGATGATTCCTAGTAAAATGCTTCCCAAAATCTGGCAGCACTGCTTCCACTAGTTTCCTATAAGAATCTGGACACAGTCAAGAAATTATTTTCATTGAATAACTGCCAACTCAATGGCTCCTAGTATGCTCTGCTGAAAATATATCCTTAGCACTTTGTGAAAGCAAACTCATATGTCATAAGCTATCTATTTCCTAAGCCTCCAAACCAGTCAACTGAAAGACTTCAGACACCAACTGCACTACCAGCAGGTTAGCTTATCCCAGTCTTCCCTAAACTCTCTGAGCCACAGCCTATTCAAATTAAGCACTCTTAACACCTAGCCTCTTAGAGCAGATGATTATATAATTATGAAGCAGAATACTACATTTCTTTTTCTCATAGGTTTATGGTAAAAATAATAGAATTTCCAATTGAGCTTTCTCTTTTCAGTCTGGAAATTATTATAGGAAAATCTTTCAGTCCTTTTCACCATCCTCTGCATGGTAGAAACATTTTCTATTCTTATTGGAAAGAACCTAACATTAACTCTGTGGAGTTTTACTGAGGCATGAACAGAAGCAGAGCAGAAGAAGAACAAGCATGCCTTGTTTCTTATTTTATTTAACACGCCCACTTGCTAGTGATTTTTTCTTCCCACTTCCTCCTGTGCTTTAGGAATAAAAGAATAATCTGACTAAGCAGTACATGCCTCACAAAGTCAGACTACAGTCTGACTCTTCCTGTTCTGGCTCATCTTTTGAGCATTTAGAAGATAAATTAATTTAAAAATGCACTCTATAGTCCCAGACTCTTTGTTCAGGGGATATGTGGTTGATTTCTGTAGAAGCTAGTCATCTTTATGCAAATTTCTAGCATCACTTTCAAAATATTTTCTGCTTTTTCAGGATTCTTCTCTGATGCTTGCATGACACTAATATACCATATATTATCTACTTTTCTCTTGTAATATGTTTAGAAATATACATACAGTATTAAGTCAATAAAGTCCCAACAGTGCTGCATGGGTAATTTTTCATTCACTAGTTGATACCTATGCTGAGACAGTTCTCTGCAAGCTTGTGTCTTAGGAGGGGAAAAAAAAAAAACCAACAAAACAGAGTAGGCAAGTGAGATTGGCAATTGTCAAAACAATTGCATATGCCAGGACTTTAAGAATAACCAAATAAGAAGGCAACAAGAGCTGGTTCAGAGCTGATCTGGTTTCATATGATTTACCTGACACTTATACCCAATCATTTCACTTAACACAGAGCACTCATCCTTTGAGTACTTTAGATTGTTTTGGTAATAGGAAACACAACAACAAAAGTACAGGAATGCAGCTCCATGTTCTGTAAGATTAGATAGCAATAAATGGTAAATTACTCTGTCTTTATTAAAGATTTGTTGAAATGCCTTATATTGGGTATTTTCTCTTTATATGAACTCTGTATTTCAACCAACTGCAGACAGTGCAATACTACAGTATTTAAATACTATTGAAAAATCTGCATTTAAAATGGTTTGTGTGTTCCTAACCATGTTATTCAAGGGCCAACCATATTTGGACATTGTCAGTATGTATATACTACCATTCACTACTTCCCCTCTCCTATAGACAAGCTTTTTACCTATATGCCATTGAGAACAATACAACTCTTCATATCAATGCATTTTACATGTACTCCTAATTTAAATGTACATGTATCTATTACTATTAAAACTAAATATTTGCTCATATGTTTTTTGAACATACGTGGTTCCTGTTCTATGAAACATTTGTTCAAGGCTTTTAACAATTTCTGTTGGAATTTGGGCTTTTTCTAATTTGGTTTTTATATATTTCACAATAATTGATGCTCAATGTATATAAATGCAAAATTTTGAATTTGAGTACATAAATCAACAAGATGTCATAAACATTTTCCTTTCATTTACATTTGTTTAAAGAACTTACAGATGTTCAAGCTGAATTTAGAGAAGGCAGAGATCAAATTGCCAACATCTGTTGGATCACAGAAAAAGGAAGAGAGTTTCAGAAAAACATCTACTTCTGCTTCACTGACTACACCAAAACCTTTGACTGTGTGGATCACCACAAGCTGTGGAAAACTCTTCAAGAGATGGGAATACCAGACCACCTTACCTGCCTCCTGAGAAATCTGCATGCAAGTCAGGAAGTTACAGTTAGAACCGGACTCGGAACAATGAACTGGTTCCAAATTGGGGAAGGAGTATGTTAAGGTTATATATTGTTACCCAGTTTATTTAACTTATATGCAGAATATATCATGTGAAGTGCCAAACTGGATGAAGCACAAGCTGGAATCAAGTTTGCTGGGAGAAATATCAATAACCTCAGATATGCAGATGACACTACCTTTATGGAAGAAAGTGAAGAGGAACTAAAGAGCTTCTTGATGAAAGTGAAAGAAGAGACTGAAAAAGTTGGCTTAAAACTTAACATTAAAAAAACTAAGAACATGACATCTTGTGCCATCACTTCATGGCAAATAGATGGAGAAACAATGGAAACAGTGAGAGACTTTATTTTCTTGAGCTCCAAAATGACTGCAGGTGGTGACTGCAGCCAAGAAATTAAAAGATGTTTCCTCCTTGGAAGAAAAGCTATGACAAACCTAGACAGCACATTAAAAAGCAGAGACATTACTTTGGTGACAAGGGTCCCTCTAGTCAAAGTTATGTTTTTTCCAGTAGTCATGTACGGATGTGAGGGTAGGACTATAAAGAAAGCTGAGCACCAAAAGAACTGATGCTTTTGAACTGTGGTGTTGGAGAAGACTCTTGAAAATCCCTTGGGCTGCAAGGATATCCAACCAGTCAATCCTAAAGGAAATCAGTGCTGAATATTCATTGGAAAGACTAATGCTGAAGCTGACGCTCCAATACTTCGGCTACCTAATGAGAAGAACTGACTCATTGGAAAAGACCCTGATGCTGAGAAAGATTGAAAGCAGGAGGAAAAGGGGGTGACAGAGGATGAGATGGTTGGATGACATCACTGACTCAATGGACATGAGTCTGAGCAAGCTCTGGGAGCTGGTGATGGACAGGGAAGCCTGGTGTGCTGCAGTCCATGGGGTGGCAAAGAGTCAGATATGACTGAGCGACTGAACTGAACTGAATTGAAAAAATGGTGGTAGTGGTGGTTTAGTCACTCTGTCATGTCCTACTCTTGTGACCTCTTGGACTCTAGCCCACCAGGCTCCTCTGTCCATGGGATTTCCCAGACAAGAATAATGGGGTGGGTTGTCATTTCCTTCTTCAGGGAATATTCCCGACCCAAGAATCAAACTCTGGTCTCCTGCATTGGAGGTGGATTTTTTACCAACTGAACTATAAGGGAAGCTCCACTTCAAGAATATAGTTTTTAATTACTGATTAAAACTCTTCCTCTTTCCAGTTCAACTGAGACACCTAAGGATAAGAACAGTAATATTCTGTGCTCTTTCCCTAGCTCAATGATTCCAATTAGGTGTTGGTTTTGTCAGGAGACAAACACCCTCTATATCACCAGGAAATAAAAAAATAGTCATGACTGTCTGGTATGGACTTTAGAGAATTCATTTCCATTCAAGTGTTGCTGCTGCTGCTGCTGCCAAGTTACTTCAGCTGTGTCCAACTCTGTGCAACCCCATAGATGGCAGCCCACCAGGCTCCACCGTCCCTGGGATTCTCCAGGCAAGAACACTGGAGTGGGTTGCCATTTCCTTCCCCAATGCATGAAAGTGTTAACCAATTATAATTCAAGGGCCTTTTATTTACAGCATAATAAAAATTACATAATTTATATATGATATACATGGAAATTTATTTTTT